ACATAAAGCTTTTTATGTTCAAATTATTGATGAATATGTTTCTGCTGTGGGAGATAAATTATAAATAATACGTAACAAAATAAATAACATTTAGGATATATTTGGATGTCTTTGAACATCTTTCCTCGTGCAGTTTTTGTGAGGCGGAGAAAAAACTTATAGAACTGCTTTTTATAGGCATCGTCACAATTTGTTATGACTTTAAATTGTTTCATGTTTTTTTTCAATGCGAACATTTATAATTATACATTTATAATTATAAGTATGTTTTGTCCACTTTTCCTGTATTTCATGATCTCCAAACGTGTCGCCTGCAGCTTTTGGCGGGACTTCCTCATCAATAAAAGCTCTGAGCTCCTGGCTCAGACTCACTCTTCAGTCATGAAGCTGTGGTGAAGATGTGGTTCCTCCTCTTCCTCCTCTCCTCCGTCGCTCGCTGCGACGCGCTCAACTTTCAAGGTGAGTCACAACTTGCAGATTTGATGCAAGTCTTTTAAAAGTTTTACATTTTAGATTTTAAGTTCTGCTCAAATCCACGCCCCGCTTTGTGCGCTGAACAGAAACATTTTAATTACACAAAATATACCCTGATAATCCTTGTTTTATTGTTAAAAATGATTCTTTGCTCATATTTAAAGTTTCAAACAAAGTATATTTACACCAAACTTCACTTATAAAAATCATTTTGAAGTTGATAAACTCATGAACTTCTTGTAATTGTCAATCAGTATTAAAATAAAGTTAACACTGCATGTTGACATGCGGCACCACTGTAGCTTGGTGGTCCGTACAGCGAGCGTGTGGTCCTGAGGCTGCAGGTTCAAATCCAGGCTACCAAAGCTTTTGTGCAAAGTTTGCTTGCTGTGTTGTCAACAACTGTTTACAAATAAACAAATTCAGGTTTGTTTGTTTGTGTGTATTTTTAAGATAAAGGGATTAGAACTGTTTGCATACATATATAATTTTGATGNAGTGTGTTCAATACTTTTTCCCTGTGCCATTCCACATTATTACAAATAACTTCATTTCTGGACATTTATGGTTTGATTTCTTTGTATGTATGGATCACTTGGGTTGTTACCGACATCTGGTGAAAATTTCATGTCATTAGCACCTCTAGTAATATATTTACTGAGAAAAATGGAGACATGTTCAATACTTACTTTACCCGCTGTATAATAGATTTCTTTATTTTACATTTCTGGATAATAGATGGTTTTGCCCACCAGACTGTATTCTTTAAAGGTTTTCTGTAAAATTAAGTTTGGAAAATAAGTCTAATCTAAAATTAGGTATTCACATTCCCTCATTACACCCAGCTAACGCAGTTAGCAATTCTAAATTTTTACTCTTTTTATATAGTCTTAAAATCATTATTTAAATATAGTCTTAAATGTGTAAATAATGATAATAGATGATAATAATAAAGACAAAAGTTTACAGATATTTCATCATGAGTTGTTTCTGCAGAACTTCATGAGTAAAAAAAGAGAAAATTGATCAAATCTGACGATAAAAACTGACAAGTTTCTGAAGCTTAAAAACAGAGAAGTAGTAAATAAAWAAGTAAATAGATGGCTGGAAAACGGCAGCTTCTTTATCTGTTTATTCTTTTGGATTCATAAGAAAAATGTCAACATATGTTGATAAACATTTAAATAAGAATGATTTTATCTCTTGACTTTCACATCTGACTGCTGACAGGATCTGGGGTTTTCTGTTATTTCATTCTGCAACACGACACCGAACATTTATTTTAGTACTTTTATTGAAGGTTTGTTGTTTTTAAATGTCAAATGGAAACATTGTTTTTCCTGCTTTATGTTTGTATTTAATATAGAAATGTCACAGCATTCAGTATATTTGATGAAAGCTACAAATACAGAGAGATAATCAGCAGATTCTAGTATTTCTGTTTGATAAGAATGGATGGAAAAAACATAAAGATGATAAATAAATGACAGTTATTAAACAGGTTTCATGTTTCATGTGAGGAAGATGTCAGTGAACGATCACAGCTTCCTGCTGAGATGGAAGATGTGCTTTCAGAAGTTTGTGGTTTGGTTTCTGCTCAACAAGCCGGTGGTTGAGTCTCTGATTACCTCACAGTAAAGTGTGGTCAGCTCAGCTCTGAAGCTGACGATCAAACTCACAACATTTCTGCATCAAATCAACACTTTTCACACCCACTGGTGTTTTTATAGAGGATGTGGGACACGTGTTTTTAACAGAAGGAAATGTCAGGTTTTTTTAGATTCCTTAATAGATTAATAAGAGCTGAAGACACTGAACTGACACGTTTACAACAAGAACGATTCTCCTATAATGTGGCTGTTTATGTGACTTAATGTTTATGTGACTTAATGTTTATGTGACTTAATGTTTGTGTGACTTAATGTTTGTGTGACTTAATGTTTATGTGACTTAATGTTTATGTGAATTAATGTTTATGTGACTTAATGTTTATGTGACTTAATGTTTATGTAACTTAATGTTTGTGTGACTTAATGTTTATGTGACTTAATGTTTATGTGACTTAATGTTTATGTGACTTAATGTTTATGTGACTTAATGTTTATGTGACTTAATGTTGGTTTGACTTAATGTT